GTTTGATCTTCGGCTGACCAATCAGCAGAAAGGGGCGTTTAATTCCCGCCCACATGTAGAAATCGAATATTCAAGCTGTTTATTCATTTTTCCACCCATGAACGAAAAACGAAAATTTAAGCTGAATTTTCGTTTTTTGGAAAAAAACGAAAAAGGAGCCATATTCTAATTTTTCTACTTTCAATATTAAATCAAAAACGAATGATCAGTAGGCCTGTTACTGATTTGAGAACGTGACAAAATGTGACGCGAGTTCTATTTCTACCACTTTCTTTGTACAATACCACACAATAAATTATTTTCGAGTATGTTACTGTTATGTAGACATTGTAACGGATGTCTAATTGTGAATTTTACAGACTAGTAGTAGGCCTACCTGGGCAACCCCAGACAGGATGTTACAGAGCGGTTGTAGGCAAAAAGGTAACATTAACAAGTCACTTCTAAAACTTTGAGCTAAGGTTAATTTCTGTGAGATGGCTAATGGCACACTCAGTATTTTTATACACTAAGAAGTTTTACACGTATATAATACCATTGCATACTTGCATGAGATAAAGTTAAAAGTCACATCAGTCGCCTCGAAATTAATATGTACTTAACATGTAGCGGGTCGCCTCATGGGGGTAGCCATATTAGCTTCTTCTCGCATGGCTTTACCCATAACACCTGTTGTAAGACACCTTTTTGAAATAAATCGAATTACAGTTGACTCCAAATAGAATATCTCTACAATGGAATTGGTAACTGAAAACTTTTGTTTTAATAGAAATGACATAGGCCTACTCACTGTTAGGTGTCTGTAAAGGTCAATACACACCTTCCATCCCACATGAAAAAATACTATAGTAACTTATAGTAGCCTAAATACTATAGTGTTTTTGAACCATACTATAGTAAAGTGTATTATACTGTATATATTATAGTACAACACTTTGTTAATGAATGCTACAGCATAATGTAGTATTAACTATAGTGAACTGATAGGCTATAATAAATACTGTAGTATACTTTAGTTTTTACTACAGTAAACTGTAGTGTATTGTAGTATAATATACACTATAGTTGTAGAAAACTTAGTACAGTATTGGGTAAAGTATTTTTTTTATATTACTCTAGCTGTTATATTACCACAGCAACTATAGAACAAATTAATTCAATTACTTTACTATAGTATGGTTCAAACACACTATAATATTTACTATAAATTAATTACTATAGTATTTTTTCATGTGGGATATAAGCCAGCACAACAAACCCTTTAGATCTATAAGACCTGAAGAAAACTGTCTGTTAGTATTCCCATTCATCAATGTCAGCTAAAATCTGCCAACTTTGCTAATGCACAGTTTTTCTTTCCATGTGACTAATCACTCAGAAATAGCAGGAAAATCAACACTGATGGGTCCAATTTTGCTTTTTAAAGCACTGCAAAAAAAGTAACTGGGAAATATCTTTTATCATACTATGCATTTATGCTTTCTATGTTGATTTATATGTTAGTGCAACCCCAAAACATCTTAAAGCATTCAAAACCAACCTGATTGCCAGATTTCCACCAAATAAACGATAAAATACTGTTCCAGATTCATATACATTATTTATTGTTAAGTTTTTACTATTTAAATGTAAAAATTTACTTTTTTTTTTTTTCTGTTCTCATGTCAGATATGTGTGTATGTATGTATGCATGTATGTATGTACCAGGAGCACCTTAAAAAAACACAAATGCCTTGTGTGTTTGCACACACCTGGCGAATAAAGCTAATTCTGATTCTGATTCTGAAATACTGTATGTCATGTATACACCATATTATAGGTTTTTACCAATTACAGTATGTGATGTAAACAAATCAGACTGTCACTGTAATTACAAAGTTTTCCCCCTTTCCCAAAGGAAATCAGTAGATCATTTTGATTAGAGGAAGAGAAATCAATCAGCTGAAGGATAATGTATAGCCTAGTGTCATGACAAGCATAAATAAATATGACTGATCTGTCACATGACTCAGACATCATTCTCAGAGGCAAAGCTTGTGCCTGCATTTCACTTCAGATGGGCTCTGAATTGTAATGCACTGGCTCATTTTACATAACTGTTACTCCACAATCTCATATTTTGCACAGTATTGTAACATAAACCAGCAAAAATAAATACCACACTGTATTCCACATGTTCACTAGTAACAAAATAATTTGTCATTACTGTATAAATTACAAAATACAAGAGAGGAACGGCATGAGAGCTCTGGGAAGAATCTGGATGGTTCCATAGGGTTTTTCTTGACATAAAGCGACTGGTACGTATCTCGATGCAATAAACGAGTGACAATGCAGCCTATCTCTCTCTCTCTCTCTCTTTGTCATATACACACATTGTCTTTCTCCCATAATCTGCAGGTCGAAATGGACCAAATTACTGCATAGACAACAATGCACAAGCCCTTTCTCATGGAAAACCACAGTCTGGTGAGAGAGAGCGAGATTGTGCATGCAGTTTTTATGAGGTAAGCTGTTATGGCTCTAAACCCTTTCACTCTTAGCAATCAAATGGGAACCTGCCTTCGATTAGAACCAGAAAATGAACCCAACTGAATGCATCACACTAAAGTAAACTAGAAACCAACCACAGAAGGTTGTATGAGAGGCAAATATACAGTAATTGATCAAACAAAATATGTTTTTTCACTGCAAAACCAGTCTGTGTGGAAAGAAATACTAAATTTGTGCGCTGATTGTTTTCAACTACATCCTGCAGATCTGCACAAAGAAGACGACAATAATACAACAGACATGCGGTAAACAGTTGGCAGTATCTCCGCTGAGAAAAATGGGAGACTGTGAGTGAGAAAGAGAGACGGAGGGAGAAAAATCGAGCTGCTGCAGTATCCCTACACTGCTGAGGCTTGGACTGCGTGACTGCCTGGTGTGTTGAAAGAGAGAGAGAAGGGAGGGGGGAAGGGAAGGATCTTGCTTGGATGAGGAGCAAGCAGGCAGGCAGGCAGCAGCATCATCTCTTTTGTGGCGCGCTGCTGAGGGAACTTGCCGCCTAGAGCCGTGCAGGGCGCTCACTCCTCGCAGGCGCGCACAGCGCCACCGCCTCTCCCGCACTGGCCGCCGCAGGGACAGCGACAGCCTCCGTTACAGGCGCAGAACTGCTTGCTGCAGCGGCACCATGGCGCAAGCCGCTAAGCAGCTCCGCAAGAACAAGGACCTTCAGGAGCTCGCAGCTCAAGAGCAGCGAGAGAAGGAGGAGGAGAAGATCAAGAAGAGGAACCGATCGAGAGACCGTAGACGCAAGGTAACAGAAAAAAACCTCCTTGCTCTTTTTTCCGCATGGGGAAGGATACACACCTTCACACATATCACTGACTCATTGTGTTAACCAGTCAGCTAGAGCTGGTCGTTCACAGATTATGTTTGAGGAAGATGCTGATGGGGGGTTCATGACTGAGATGATTGGTTAAGTAGCCCATCGGTCCTCTGGGGAACATCCTGCTCAATCGATTTAGAAGCAAATGCTGTTTATGACTGATGTTGCATCAAAGCAAACCCGATTGCTTTATGTATTCAGATGCACCCGCCACAGGCTCCATTGTTTGTAGCGTTCCCTCCGCCTGTCATCGGCATGCTACACCACCTCATATCGATGCCGTAAGCGTGAACTTTGGCAGAACGTGAGTGTAATGTCTGCACCTGCTTCTGCCACCCATTTTCATTACAGTTTGTATGATGGAATGGGAGCTGGAGTGCATTATGGGAGCTCTGCTGCCCGGAGCCCTCTGGCTGCCTACTTACTTACATTACCTTCCACCAATGTGCATGCGATGATGTATGGTCGCGTGCATGCAGATTTTGGCTTCACACGAGAGCAGGGGGAGTCCAGAAGTACACGTGACTCAGGTTACAGCTGAAGACAACAAGATCGGTAGAGGCCGGGGTGATGACTCCGCTCCCGTCTGCTCACCAAGGCTCATAAAACCTGTCAGCTTAGCATTTATCAGCGTGCTCGCGTAACTACACGATCGGGCAGAGATATGTGGCCGGCGGTGGTAGAATGTCAGTGTAGCGCTAATTAACAGAAG